GAGAAGACAGAACCAGAGACAGAACCAGAGACAGAACATGAGAGGAGACAGAACCAGAGACAGAACCAGAGACAGAACATGAGAGAAGACAGAACCAGAGACAGAACATGAGACAGAACATGAGAGAAGACAGAACCAGAGACAGAACATGAGAGGAGACAGAACCAGAGACAGAACATGAGAGAAGACAGAACCAGAGACAGAACATGAGACAGAACATGAGAGGAGACAGAACATCACAGGCGACAGAACCAGAGACAGAACATGAGAGAAGACAGAACCAGAGACAGAACATCAGAGGAGACAGAACCAGAGACAGAACCAGAGACAGAACATGAGAGGAGACAGAACCAGAGACAGAACATGAGAGGAGACAGAACCAGAGACAGAACATCAGAGGAGGCAGAACCAGAGACAGAACATGAGAGGAGACAGAACCAGAGACAGAACATCAGAGGAGACAGAACCAGAGACAGAACCAGAGACAGAATATGAGACAGAACATGAGAGGAGACAGAACCAGAGACAGAACATGAGAGGAGACAGAACATCAGAGGAGACAAGATGTAGCCGGGCTCCACAAACACACACATTAAATCTACTTTTAATAGAACACATTGTACAGTACAGTAGGGACATTTTTTTTTAAAGTAAAGTAAGCAAGAAAGGGAGGATGAAGGGCCAGGGGCATAGAGTAGGGGGATAGGGGGGAAACAGCCCCTTCTCTACATCTAACACCCCCTAACTTCCTGAGCAATCTTTGAACTGGGACTACGGACGAAAACAAGACATCATTTGAGGTGAAATCAAGAAAACATTCTTTGGGAGGAAACCAGACCAAATTTGATTAGAACACTAGACAACATATGAGATGAAACCAAGACTGAATGTTAGGCTAAAACAACAACCTTTCTGAAGAGAAAAACATATTTAGATCAAAACAAAACAAATCGACCACATTTGAACAGAAAACAAGGCCAAATGTGAGGAGGAAACTGGACAAATGTGAGAAAACTGGACAAATGTGAGAAAACTGGACAAATGTGAGGAGAAAACTGGACAAATGTGAGGAGAAAACTGGACAAATGTGAGGAGAAAACTGGACAAATGTGAAGAGAAAACTGGACAAATGTGAAGAGAAAACTGGACAAATGTGAAGAGAAAACTGGACAAATGTGAAGAGAAAACTGGACAAATGTGAAGAGAAAACTGGACAAATGTAAAGAGAAAACTGGACAAATGTGAAGAGAAAACTGGACAAATGTGAGGAGAAAACTGGACAAATGTGAAGAGAAAACTGGACAAATGTAAAGAGAAAACTGGACAAATGTGAGGAGAAAACTGGACAAATGTAAAGAGAAAACTGGACAAATGTGAGGAGAAAACTGGACAAATGTGAAGAGAAAACTGGACAAATGTGAGGAGAAAACTGGACAAATGTGAGGAGAAAACTGGACAAATGTGAAGAGAAAACTGGACAAATGTGAAGAGAAAACTGGACAAATGTGAAGAGAAAACTGGACAAATGTGAAGAGAAAACTGGACAAATGTAAAGAGAAAACTGGACAAATGTGAGGAGAAAACTGGACAAATGTGAAGAGAAAACTGGACAAATGTGAGGAGAAAACTGGACAAATGTGAGGAGAAACTGGACAAATGTGAGGAGAAAACTGGACAAATGTGAGGAGAAAACTGGACAAATGTGAGGAGAAAAACTGGACAAATGTGAGGAGAAAACTGGACAAATGTGAAGAGGAAAACTGGACAAATGTGAAGAGAAACTGGACAATGTGAAGAGAAACTGGACAAATGTGAAGAGAAAACTGGACAAATGTAAAGAGAAAACTGGACAAATGTGAGAAAACTGGACAATGTAAAGAGAAAACTGGACAAATGTGAGAAAACTGGACAAATGTAAAGAGAAAACTGGACAAATGTGAGGAGAAAACTGGACAAATGTGAAGAGAAAACTGGACAAATGTAAAGAGAAAACTGGACAAATGTGAAAGAGAAAACTGGACAAATGTAAAGAGAAAACTGGACAAATGTAAAGAGAAAACTGGACAAATGTAAAGAGAAAACTGGACAAATGTGAAGAGAAAACTGGACAAATGTGAAGAGAAAACTGGACAAATGTGAAGAGAAAACTGGACAAATGTAAAGAGAAAACTGGACAAATGTGAAGAGAAACTGGACAAATGTGAAGAGAAAACTGGACAAATGTAAAGAGAAAACTGGACAAATGTAAAGAGAAAACTGGACAAATGTGAGGAGAAAACTGGACAAATGTGAGGAGAAAACTGGACAAATGTGAGGAGAAAACTGGACAAATGTAAAGAGAAAACTGGACAAATGTGAAGAGAAAACTGGACAAATGTGAAGAGAAAACTGGACAAATGTGAGGAGAAAACTGGACAAATGTGAAGAGAAAACTGGACAAATGTGAAGAGAAAACTGGACAAATGTGAGGAGAAAACTGGACAAATGTGAAGAGAAAACTGGACAAATGTGAGGAGAAAACTGGACAAATGTGAGGAGAAAACTGGACAAATGTGAGGAGAAAACTGGACAATGTGAAGAGAAAACTGGACAAATGTGAAGAGAAAACTGGACAAATGTGAGGAGAAAACTGGACAAATGTGAGGAGAAAACTGGACAAATGTGAGGAGAAAACTGGACAAATGTGAAGAGAAAACTGGACAAATGTGAGGAGAAAACTGGACAAATGTGAGGAGAAAACTGGACAAATGTGAGGAGAAAACTGGACAAATGTGAAGAGAAAACTGGACAAATGTGAAGAGAAAACTGGACAAATGTGAAGAGAAAACACACATTTCTTAGGAAAGCTTTGGAATAAACATTACGAGACAAAAACAAGACAACATTTGTGGCAAAACTGGACCAAATGTGTGAGGAAAACAAGACAAGAAATTGAGGAGTAATCTAGTCAACATTTGGGGAGAAAACAAAAGCAAATGTCAACAGAAATCAAGAGAGAATTTGAAATGAAAACATGACAACATTTTAGGAAAAAACAAGAACATTTTTTGAGAAAACAAGAGGTTGAAGATAAGGAAATAAAGAGGGAGAAACGGACTGAAGAGAACAGAAAGCCGCAGCCTGTTCACAACAAACACACTCCTTTATTTTAAGAGAAGAAGAAGAGTGGCGGCATTCAAAGGGCTGATGTACGTATTGTTGCACCAAGGACAAACAACTCTCAATACTCTCTGTTCAGCAACAACAGGAACTCCTTTCAACAAAACAACACGGTGAATATCTCCTGTGTTGAGAGGTGGAGGAGAGGAGAAAACACCGAAGGCCAGGCGTGAAAAAGAGTTCCTGTTCCTTACCGCGTTGCAACAAAAACACGACTTTAACAAATAAAGAAAAGAGGTTATTTAACGGGTTAGAGATGGAACACAACAGAAAATCATTGGAGTTTTTCTCTGCAGACTCTAAGCTGCTTTAGCTTTTCCACGACTGAAACACGATGGTGTGTTTGAACTAGGGCTGTCAGTCGATTCAAATAGTTAATCGCAAATTAATCCCACATTTTTTATCTGTTCTAAGAGGAATATTTTAGTTTGTAATACTCTTATCAACATTTGAGTGGACACATATGCTTTATGCAAATGTTTGTTTATTATCATTGGAACAATGACAAATATTCTCATGAATATTCTCAACACAACAACCTGGAACCTCTCTCTCTCTGTCTCTACACTCTCTCCCAACCCTGTGCACTTCTCTGCACTGAGCCAGTTGCTCAAACAGACAAGCCTGTTTACAGTTGTCGGCGAAATGCCGCTCCTCTGTCTTCATCTTCAGTCAAAGCATGAGACTAGGGTCAAAATAATGCGCTTTGATGTGCAGTCGACACGTTGGATGCGATCCGAATGATCTAACGCAGCCCCTCGTCCTCCACAATGTTAAGCTGTAGCCCCCCATTTAGCTATCGCTGTTGTTGTCCAGGCGTCTCCCGGCAAACTTTCAAGCGTGGTCTGCGGCAAGCGAGCGGCCGGAGCGGGGCTGTCAGCATCAGCTGTGAGCTTGGCTTGCTGTTAAAACACCTTTTTTTGTATGCATATCTCTCGCTAGAATCTGCCACCATCCAACTAACAACAACAACAACAACAACGTCAAGCCTTTGGGCTCTGAAACTACGGGGCGGGCCGAGGACAAATACACATACGTTAATCGCACGTTAAAATAATTAGTGGCATTAAAAATGGTTGTTGTTATTAACACGTTAACTTGACAGCCCTAGTTTGAACACTTTCTTCTTTGTTGAAATCTCATCTTTAAGCAAGTGTTTACCGCCTCACAGGTGAATGAAAACCAAACCATCTTATATTTATGTCTCCTGAATTTTGGGAAATAAAATCACAATATCTTTTGTCTCTTCTCACCAGAATCTACATGTTTCCTAGGGAATGCACCTACATGAACTGAAGGGTTTACATTCATCTTCAAACCCCACTGACCCTGCCATGCAACAGTTACAGCTGCAGGTATTTCCCAGGTATTTTACTACAAAATAAAAACAGTGTGTTTATTGGAGTGACAGATATGAAAGGGGGAAGACATGCAGCAAATTGTCCCGGGCACGTTTCGAACCCGGGTCCTCTGCATCGGGACCAAGCTCTACAAACTGAGATATACGGCAGCACTTTCCGGCCAATAAAGTGTAAGTGCAAAATATGTAGATGTTATGCAGGCGGTTCAATCAGAAATGAGTGAGTGTGGGTGGAAAAGGAGAAAAAGATCGTCTAAAATGTGCAACTTAAAGTCCAAAAGAAACTATGAAAACACAAACTGACATGGTGACTGATTTTCTGAAATAGTAATAAAACTTCCCAGGACACACAGCGAGGAGATGGCTCTTAGAAACAGGTCATGTTTGGCAATGCTGCATGCAGAACAGGATGGATATAAGAGGCACAGAAACACACTCACCTCTCTTCCCTTCCCACGGCGGAGTACAGAGAGAGACAGAAAGGACAGTCAGAGAAATAATAACAAGTCTAATGTCAATCAAACAGTTTGGGATTGTATTATGTTGAGTTTCTGACATATTGGGTTTGTTACAAGATTGTTTGTTTAGGAGGAGTGCTACTCTGAGCTCACTTGAAATCTGACTTTAACTTTGAGTACGGAGCAGCGGGACTTTGTGACATCACGAGTTTTGAGCCAATCAGGGTCCAAAGAAATGTGCAAACGTCCAGAGTAGGGCAGCACGACTTAGACAAACTCATATAGATTATTTTCACTGATATTACTATTACGATATGATGTGGGACTGTCAGAACGACTGTTCAAACTATCGGGGAAAAACTGACTTTTGATCAAGTCAGTAGAACACCGGCTCTTCTCTGCAGCTCCACTATACATTCATTCAGATATTTTGCCAAACATCGTGCAGTTTTGATTAAATCTCCATTATTGTGCGGCCCTAACCCAGAGCACACTGAGAAAGGACTTTCCAGAGCACTTGCAGGCGTTATATTTCTGATCCCTGACCACAATAAAAGTCATTTTTAGAACTTCACTTTGACTTCTTCTTCGAGAGGAAACACTGAGAGAAAACAAACACGGAGTGGAGCGAGGACGTTGTTTACGCTGACAGTCACCGAGTAAACAATTATGAATCATATCTATATTTAATCTGTGACAGCTTGTGGTAAAAAGCCTCTAATTTGTGGTTAGCATCACGGGGCAGAGACGCGCGGTCTCCATGGCAGCGGCGTGTTATTAATGTGAGAAACAGATGCCTCCGTCTCAACACCTATGATTGATCAGTTGAACACCGCGGCGTTTGCATATGGGCCGTGGGCGGTGTGTTCGTGGTGTGTTCATGGTGTGTTCATGGTGTGTTCGTGGTGTGTTCGTGGTGTGTTCAGGGAGCAGGAATCAGCAGCGCCACTTCCTGTGTCAGCCGCCACTTAGCGAGCGGGGGAGGAGGAAAACAAATGGACAGTGAGGCGAAAAGTGATCAAAAAAGTTAATGAAATGATCAAGAGACGCTGCGGCTGTCAATCACAGCGGGGGGGGGGGGGGGGGGGGGGGGGGAGAGCGAGAGAGGAAGAGAGAGAGAGAGAGGGAAACTGCTGGAATAAATCCAGCTCAGACAGAGCAGCTGTGTTCAATAGAAAAGTTATAGCACCATACTCCGTGCATTATATCTTAATAAATTGGTAAAATGAAGTTTCTAGTTTGATTTCAAATCAAGAAAATTCAACATAAGGAGAAGAAGACTTTATGAAACGATGGTTTTAAAAAAACCTAAGGACATAAAGTATCAGTAAATTAATTAAAACATTGGATTATTGAACTTGTAGAACTTGTTTCCAGCTCATCGACAGTGAGGGATCGTCTGCAAACAGTACTATCACTAATAATACATTTAAGTGGTTATGCTTGAGTATGTTTGCAGCACTTTAATTAAGGATCCAATTACTTCTTCCAACACTAGATTATTTGGGTAGGGTGTGATATGAAATAGACACACTACAGTTGTCCTCCAGGCCCTGTTCGATGGTTCCTCAGTGGTTCTGTAACACAGAACAGAACAGCGTGGTACCTCTGCGTGGTGCTCCTCGTTCTGCGTCAGGACCTCCACACAGAGCTCTCCGAGGCGCATCATGTCCTCCAGACGCTTCTCCGGAGCGGCCTGAGGGTCCACTGAGGGTCCCACACACAGAGGAGAGCACCAAGGGTAGGAGAGGAACACACACTCAGTTAATACACAACTACAACTCCCATAATCCTCAGCTTCCTAAAACCACCAGACTCAGGGACAGTTTCATCCCACAGGCCATAAGACTGTTAAACACCTGACCTTTGAAACAACATCCATCACATTCATCTGTTTGCAACTTATCAATATCCCAATGACTTCTGCACTATTTCTATTCTATTATATTTCTGTGTTATTGTGTTGCACTGTTGGAGGAGCCTGTGACCTCAGATGTTCATTATCATATCTACACTGTAGCTATGCACACATGACAACAAAAGCCTTGAACCTTGAACTCTCGCCGCCCCATTAAACCCCTTTGTAACCGCTGAATGATTGAGATATCCTGCTCCTCAGAGGATGAACCCTTTAGATTCCAAAGATCCCATTGACTTCCTCTGACAGGTTTGAATCACTAACAGCACGACATGAAGAGGTGTTTTAAAACGACCTTATTAACATCACCAAAGGGCATGAACAACACGGCGAGTTTTAGGCGTGTCATCCATTTCAATTTTTATATGCATTTCATTTTTATATGCAGAGATATAACACTCTCAGTACTTTTGGAAGTCAGGTGACGACAACTCTAACGCAGAAGACTGCCAAATCCAAACAGCTGACTTATTTACATTGAATACGTAACGAATATACTTTCATTTAAAGTGGACCTATCATGCTATATTTGAATAATATAGCGTAGGACCATACCTATATAAGGCATATTTATACTTTTTTTTTTCAAAATACCAAACAGATCATGCATTTTAGCCATGCCTCATTTTGCTCAATTTGACAATTTATAGCTTTGTTTTTGCAAGGGCAGATTCAGTGAGAACAGCACCACCTACAGGCCTGGCATATGTACTACAGCGTCTCCAGCGCTTTCGAACGGCAATGGCCGTGGCTGTCTCCTCCTGATTGGTGGAGTTGGCCCAATAGCCGTAGCGCCACCGTCCTGACGTCAGGACAGTGTTCAAATCTGGATCAGTTTTTATCAGATCCGTTGCAGCCCCTTTTTTAGAGATTTGGGTATGGAGGAAAATAGAGAGGGTTGTGTTTTCTGACACTTGGTGAGTTCCCTGGAACACCGGGGACACATATTCATGTATACAAGACGTACAAAAGTGCATTTTGCATGATAGGTCCCCTTTAAACCAAATTGTGATCTTTTCCTAACCTTGTAACCATGTCGTTTTGTTCAAGAATCAGAACGTTCATTACGTGTTTAAAACCGTGTCGGTAAATGACGAGTTGGGAATAAAAACAGGGCGTTAAATGATACGCATGAAGCTTCAAATGCATGACATCAAACAGGAAGTGTTCTTAAAAGTGGCGTAAAAGGGCTTGCCATGAAATCATGTTGGTTTCTGGGATATTATAGGTTTGTGTGAAGCTACTGAACCACAGAGTGATGTGGAGTCATGTGAAGGTTACATATATATAAACTTAAAGGTCACCTATCATGCTATTTTTAGGCAATAGCATAGGTCTCAGATATATACAAATATATAAAAAACATGTCTATGAAGTGTTTTGCTCAAAATACCAAACAGATCACCCATTCTAGCCATGCCTCATATCCCTCTATTTCACTTCCTGTTTCTAAAGTGCTGATTTGGGGTATAAAGCTTTAAAAAAAAACACTTGATAACAAATAAAAAAGGGGGCTGAGCATGTTCCTCACAGATGTGGCACCATTTGAAAGGTAAATAAACAGGCTTTCTAACGGTATAAGATGTATTGCCAAGAAGCATTGTTACAACAAAGAAATAATCTACCAAGCACAGATTTCCTTACTTTTTGTGTTAAGTTGATTTAATATAGCGTAAGGTCTGACCTGTGATCTGAGCGTACTCCATCAGCTGGCTGTAGTTGATCTGAGCTGCGTTCTCCAGACACTTCTGCACCAGCTTCTTCATCTCCTCTGCAGGGACTGGAGTGGTGATGTCCTTCATCAGCACCTGGACAACAACAACAACAACACAAACAACAACAACAGACACATATCAGAGAAGAGGAATCAGCCAGCGATACAGAACACACAACAAGTTGATTTGTTTGTTGATATCAGGCATTCTTTGAGAAGGAAATCACTTGCGGATGACCAAGAAGGGTCGGCCCTACTTTCTCAGTCTAATTCAAACTAATTCGGCTCGTTTGAATATGCAGAGACACGTAATGCAAATACAGCAGGACAGTAAGACGGAGAAGTACAATACATATAGGTGAGGTGATAATACACATCATTAGAACATCTGCAAATATAAAAATGGATTTTCATTAGAATCAGAATACTTTATTTATTTATTTAATTAATTTTGAAAGAGCAATACTCTACTACACATTATTAAATTTAACTTTGAGACCGTTGTTTAATTTAGGACAAAAACACTAATATATTTACATAAACATTATTATTGTTTTTAAGTTAAAATGTGCAATAAAATAAAAATGAAAAATAACATAAGAAGTTAAAATAGAGAAGATAGGCAGTGGTTAATTATTATATAAAAATATATAAATGCTGAATTTCACAGTTAACGAGGCTCTCACATTTAGTAGTTTGGAGTTTGGAGCGACAGGGAGAGGAAACATGTTTTCTAAATAAATAACCATGGCAATGTGGGAACATTTCTAAATGACTCTCAGGTCCAACAGAAGGTTTGTAGTCCTGGGTTTAATGTCTGCACCTTTGATCCTTTTGGTCTAATAACTGTTTTGCCATGTAAGGCAAGTGTATTTATGTATACTGCACCTTTCAACACAAGGCAACTCAAAGTGCTTTACAAACATGCATTAAGAAACACATTATAAAATGGCATTTAAAAACACTCATTAAAAAGCAAAGATAATAAAACATGAATAACAAAGGTACATGATTTAAAGTGACAGAGCAGTGAGAGATACATCTGACATGTTTAGCTCGGACTCTCAATCAGTGCTCACTTTTTAGAAGCAATAGTTTTCTATCACCTCACTTTCTTTCTACTTTCTTTTTTTAAAGGTCACCTATTGTGCAAAATCCTCTTCTTCATGTCTCTTCTACATCAACACGTGTCCCCTCTTCTTCATGTCTCTTCTACATCAACACGTGTCCCCTCTTCTTCATGTCTCTTCTACATCAACACGTGTCCCCTCTTCTTCATGTCTCTTCTACATCAACACGTGTCCCCTCTTCTTCATGTCTCTTCTACATCAACATGTGTCCCCTCTTCTTCATGTCTCTTCTACATCAACATGTGTCCCCTCTTCTTCATGTCTCTTCTACATCAACATGTGTCCCCTCTTCTTCATGTCTCTTCTACATCAACATGTGTCCCCTCTTCTTCATGTCTCTTCTACATCAACATGTGTCCCCTCTTCTTCATGTCTCTTCTTCATCAACATGTGTCCCCTCTTCTTCATGTCTCTTATACATCAACATGTGTCCCCTCTTCTTCATGTCTCTTCTACATCAACATGTGTCCCCTCTTCTTCATGTCTCTTCTACATCAACATGTGTCCCCTCTTCTTCATGTCTCTTCTACATCAACATGTGTCCCCTCTTCTTGATGTCTCTTCTACATCAACATGTGTCCCCTCTTCTTCATGTCTCTTCTTCATCAACATGTGTCCCCTCTTCTTCATGTCTCTTCTACATCAACATGTGTCCCCTCTTCTTCATGTCTCTTCTACATCAGCATGTGTCCCCTCTTCTTCATGTCTCTTCTACATCAACATGAGTCCCCTCTTCTTCATGTCTCTTCTACATCAGCATGTGTCCCCTCTTCTTCATGTCTCTTCTTCATCAACATGTGTCCCCTCTTCTTCATGTCTCTTCTACATCAACATGTGTCCCCTCTTCCTCATGTCTCTTCTTCATCAACATGTGTCCCCTCTTCTTCATGTCTCTTCTTCATCAACATGTGTCCCCTCTTCTTCATGTCTCTTCTTCATCAACATGTGTCCCCTCTTCTTCATGTCTCTTCTACATCAACATGTGTCCCCTCTTCCTCATGTCTCTTCTTCATCAACATGTGTCCCCTCTTCTTCATGTCTCTTCTACATCAACATGTGTCCCCTCTTCTTCATGTCTCTTCTACATCAACATGTGTCCCCTCTTCTTCATGTCTCTTCTACATCAACATGTGTCCCCTCTTCCTCATGTCTCTTCTTCATCAACATGTGTCCCCTCTTCTTCATGTCTCTTCTACATCAACATGTGTCCCCTCTTCTTCATGTCTCTTCTACATCAACATGTGTCCCCTCTGTGGAAAGAGACTCTGAAAGTTTCAGGAACAAAGATTCTCTCTCTTTTTGATCCATTTATATAAAAACCTGTCTGAAAATGAGCTGATCAGATTTTGGCCACTTTATGATGTCATAACGATGTGTTATCTTGTGTAACCATTAGCCAATCAGCAACCAAGGTAACCCCCCCCCCCCCCCCCCCTTATCACCTGAATCTCCTCCTAGAGCACCATTGAGTTCTTTGTAACCAAATCTCTCTCAGAGGGGCGTGGGGAGGGGCTCCTTATTTTCATCTAAAGTAACAGACAGAGAATCAGCACTTTGGAAACAGGGCTGAAACAGAGGGGATTATGGGATGCTGCAATGATCTGTTTGGTGTTTCAGCCAATCAGAGACAGGCTCTGTATATATCTGAGACCTGTGATATATTGATGAGAAACAGTATGATAGGGGACCTTTAACTTACTCCGTGTTTCATGCTAAACGAACCCCCCTTGGAAGGAGACATGTTAACAGATCTAAAGTAAGTGTACAGACATATTTAACGATGCTTAAGGATTTAAATGTACCCGCTCCTGCAGGGACAGCGTTGCCTTCAGGGCCCCATCTGGTCGTCCGAAGGGGAAGCAGTACCTGTAAATCAGATGTAGAACGTGGGCGTCGTTACACATAGAAACAACCTGAAGGACAAACAGAACAGGAAGATGGAGGCGGCAGGAAGACGTCAGCAGATGGCCGCCTGCTTTCTTCTAATTACTCCGATGAAGAAGAGTTCTCACCTCGGCAAAGACGAAGAGGATCGGGGAGTTTCACGTCGCTAATTGACAAGTGAACACAGCTAAATAAACAAAGGCAGGTCAGACCGTGATTGGACGAAAACACACAGACAGATGTTCTGCTGCTCCACTCTCAGGAGGAAATATAAATATATGTAATGATAAATATAGAAGGAGTTTGAAGATTTAGCTCCAACTTCAGGAAAGGTCCCCAGAGGGGGGGGGGGTAGTTGGTGTGGGGGGGGGGGGGGGGGGTGGGGGGGGGGGGGTGTTCATTTCATTAGAAATAAAGCGGAACATGTGGAATTGTTCTTGATTAATGTTTCAAAGGCTTTCAAAACACTGTGTGCACATTGATATTATTTACAGAATATTAAGAATAATGAAACAAATTCAAATCAAAACTGAAAAAAAGGTAAAATGGAAAAAAAAAGAAAAAATTGGAAAAGTAATTTTTTTTTTTAAAGATAACTATTTTCTAAAAAGGTGATTTTGTTTCGAGGATCGACCAAATCGTGTAAAATATTTGATATTATTTAAAGGTCTCCTATCATGCAAAATGCACTTGTTGATGTATTTTATACATCAACATGTGTCCCCGGTGTGTCAGGGAACTCACGCAGCGTCAGAAAATAAAACCCTCTCTCTTTTCCTCCGTACCCAAATCTCTAAAAACGGGGCTACAACGGAGCTGATCCAGATTTGCGTCCGATATGACGTAATATCTGAAATGTGGACCCACGGCCCTATCAGAAACGTTGCTATCAGAAACAATGCCCGACTGTTTTGGACGTAAAGTATGGTCGGTGTTTACATTAGCATCGCTTTGCCGAACTGCATTGTGGGAGCTTCGCTTTGCTCGCGTTGCTCGCTTCAAAAGTTGAGCAATGTTCAACTTTTGAAGCTTCGACGGAAGCGTCAGCCAATCAAATCATATGCCAGTACAAGCTCTAGCCAATCAAACCGCGTGCCCTTGTGTCCGGGGCGGGAGATTCATGTGATTGGTTGTTGGTCGAGTTTCAGACACGCCCACCTGCAAGCTTCAACGCACGCCGCCGTGTGAACGCTGCGTAACACTCAGAGCTAACCTGTACTGGAGAGCATGTGTGTGAAGAAGCAGGAAATAAAAAGGAACTCACCTTGTGGTATAACCGGCAAGAGAGAAAGCCTTTGAGCTCCATACTGTTTCAGAGAGAATCCTTGATAATCCATGATATGGCGTTTCATCACGGCAGCATTTAGTTTAGACAGTAGCTGCCGCGTCCCGCATGAGCTCAGACCTCTACTTTTTTTTTTATCAATTTTTTTTTTTTATTAAAGCTTTATACCCCAAATCAGCGCTTTTGAAACAGGAAGTGAAATAGAGGGATATGAGGCATGGCTAGAATGGGTGATCTGTTTGGGATTTTGAGCAAAACACTTCATAGACATGTTTTTTATATATCTGTATATATCTGAGACCTATGCTATTGCCTACAAATAGCATGATAGATGACCTTTAAAGAATGACGTATGGATGCATGAGGGACTTCAGTGGAACTATTTCAGGAGTTTTTAAATCACATTAAGCAGAAAAAGCAGAAGAAATACTGTCATATAAAATGATATATTATAAATGTAATTATTGAAATATTTCAGGTGACATTAAATCAGATTATACAGAAAAAAACATTTAGTCAGTAATTAGTTTGACGCCACAGTTTGTCATGTATTTGCTGTTAAAGTAACTGAGGTGTTTTTTACCCAGACATTAAATTATTAATAAGACTTTCACACTGACACACCAGGGTCAAATAACAGTTAGCCGCCTGTCTTTGAAATTTAAATGATACTATTTAGTTTAGCCTGAAACTTTATTTCCTGCCTGGATAATAATCAGTAGGTAAAGACAGTTCATGGTTTTTAATTGAAATACTTCTCAGATTCATACAGGTTGTATTTAACACAGACCGTGACCTTTTCGTTACCCAGAGACTCTCCAAACATCAAACCTTTAATAGTTAATTGGAGTACAAACGTTCAGAAAGTCATGAAATCGTCTGTAAGAGTTCTGCATTTAAGAGTAAAGAGTTTCTGATGGGTCAAAGGTTATTATTCTATTATATATTATCATCAGTTTCCATGTGTAGTGCACGTATTCTCTTTGCTGTGAACTTTTCACCATATGAGTACTTCTGCACTTGCTGCTGTTTCCTATAGTATACATTCAACATGGCAAATTCTTCAAACTTTCATTGTATGTTCTGTACTGTTTGCTCTTGACCTTCCTCTTATTGAGTGCCGCAAACACAGAATCTAATCCCTTTATAAGTGAAAATGGGCCTGGCAATTATATTCAGTTAATAATAGATATATAGACATGACTACAGATGGTCTGGCGTCATTGAAAGGACGCCGTTATGTTTGTAAGTCATGTATCGCTCAAATGAATACCAGTAAAACATGTTTGGAGTGAAGTGAATTGAGGTGTGTGTGTGTGTGTGTGTGTGTGTGTGTGTGTGTGTGTGTGTGTGTGTGTGTGTGTGTGTGTGTGTGTGTGTGAACAGAGAGATAAATGAGTGTACTTCAGAGTCATTGTCCACTCTCTCTTTCAGCACCTATAGGCGACACATACGGAGGGCAAAAGCTTGGAGCATATTGAGCAGAGTTTAATCTCCATAGTATGATTAATAAATGTAACAGATTACATTTAAGGGGATAATTAGGATAAAATAGGATAAAATAAAATGTAACTGTATTTACATTAAACATGCATATGTTACTTTAAAAAAAGGGGGAATCAGATTACTGTTACATTGATGTCTGATTGGTTAACTGGCCGGCTCTGCTGTGATTGCTTGAAGATGTCCCGCCTCTTAGGCCCCGTCCACACGGACACGATATCAGTTGAATCCGCTAACGTTCTCTATCTTATATAGACCAGGGGTTCCCAATACGTCGATCGCGAGTTGGTAGATCGCATGGCAAGTTAGCCTATCATCCATCCTTACTATGGCTTTTGCCACTTGATTGACGTAAAGGTAAGCCAGTCTGAGGTCTCATCATTTCTAACACGCAGTTCACCACGCATGAGCTGATTACCTAGTTAGCCTTCCAATGTATACAATTCTACTAAAGAAAGGGTATAACATTGACGTGATGACCAAACATGTACTGAGTTGTTTTGTGCCATACGGGGTCATGCAGTTATGCAAGGAACACCAACATAAGGTATACTTAGCATTCTTAATGTAGGTAGACAGACCCTCCCTACACACAGATCACACAGACTCACCTCGCGGAGGGGCCCTCACCTCGCGGAGGGGCCCTCACCTCGTCATCTGAAGCGCAAATGCGGCGCAATTAGTGTAAGCGCGCCACAGTTTCTCCGCCGCTGCGAGGTTCCCCCCCCCCGGCTCGCGACTCAGAGGGCCTCACCACCCTGTAGGATCACTTTGACTTGGTCATTTTCAAAGTAGCTCCCAAGCTGAAACAGTGTGGGCACCCCTGGTATAGACGGTTCGTCCACACGAAGCCGAAACGGAGCCGAGGGATTTTAGCCTCTGCAGACCATTTACATGCACAAAAAGGGAGGGAAAACCCCCCAGAAATGATGCAAAATACATGCTGGCTCACCTACCCTCACTACAGGGACACCTACCCTCACTACAGGGACACCTCAGTGCGGCCCTGTGTTGGTTATCTGGTGTCTCAGGCTCCAAAACAAACAAACAACTTCCTCCAGGTTCATCTTAAACTGTGAGCTTTGACTGTTGGTTGGTTCAAATGAATAATTACCAAAGTGTGATGAGGTAATCTGCAGATAATCTCCCTCCTGATTGAGAAAGAATAACACCGCTTGGGAGGAGCATCTGTAGTTTAAACGTATAACCTTAAATTAATCCGTGGCTTTAATCTAAACTAAACGGTGGAAGTCCTGCTCTTGTCTGGGAGGGGGGACATTAGCATAATCCCAGCATTGTCCCGGCCATTGTTTAGCAGCATTAGCCTCTTGTTGAGGTGAGTTGGTAATGACTCGCCCCTCCCCTGCTCTCGGGGCAGATGGAGGCCCCTCTCAGGCGTGAAGGAGTGTAAAGACGGGCTTCAGGACGGTTAATGGCCGCCTCCTTTCAGACGAGGGCTGCTCAAGGTCTGCAGCTTTCACACCGGCTCACAATGTGTTCACACGCAGATGCAGGGAGGTCTGCACCTGTTGTGCTGCTGAGGGGATAAAAATACCCAGAATCCTTTATGGTGGAGGTAAAGGAGCAGGCTGGTGGTTTTTACATGTTGTGGTTTGCTTCAAAATCACTCTACATGACAGTGGAGCGTTCAGCGAATGTGTTTCAGAGGTCTCCTATGTTTTTATTCAGCTTTTATCTCCCTTTTGTTTCATTAAGAATATATTATCTGACTCATGTTGTGTTATCCATTAACATCACATTATCCTCATGAGGGAAAGCAGCACTAATCAATGCATTAAAGGGTCAGTTCATCCAACAAAAAACAAGAACCTGTTGTCTTTGTTCCCGCTGTAGAGGTTCATCTTCAAGATTCAAGGGTTGTATGATCATACACACAGAAGCTACAGCGTGGTTATGGCAGTAGAGATCTGAGGTCCCGTGCTCCTCCAACAGCGCAACATATTATATAAAGGACATAAGACAGAAATGTTATTACAAATACAAATAGAGATTAGGAAAGCCTTGACAAAAAGGGAAGGGAGTTATCCTTTGGTTTTATTGAGCTAGTGGTTTATTTCTATTTCTTTTTTACTCAGGCTTTATTCCTTTAGTTCGTTTGGCAGAGTTTGTTGAATTCTGTTGTTTTTGAGAGTTGTTATGAATCACAAAGTTGTGAGTTACTGACGAAGGTTTGGAGGTCGAATGTGATTTCTTTGAGCAGCACAGAGTAAATGTCTACCTCCCTTACATTCAGCTGGAGGACGATATCTCCCAACGTGGATAACGATAATAAAACCCATGGTTCTTTCTCTATAGAGAAAAGAGACAGCTTCCTGTAGTTGTGGGTGACTCAGTATGCGTGTAGTTGTGTGATTGTGAGGTTTATTTCTATTTTGTTCTTATTCTTCTCATTTCATTATTTTTTTTCTACTCTTTTATGTTGGTTTTATTAAAGTGCCTGTGTTTGTTGACTTATGTTGTTTTGAAGAGTTTTTATGAATCACAAAGTCGTGTTTTACTGACGAAGATCTGGAGGTTGTATGTGATTTCTTTTGAGCGCACCAAATGTCTACCTCCCTTATTGAAGAAGATTGAAGATTCAACTTATTGTCATCACGTAGTACAGGTACTATGTAACGAAACGGTTCCTCTGCATTCGACCCATCCTAGTGTTAGGAGCAGTGGGCTGCCACTATGTACGGCGCCCGGGGAGCAGTGTAGGGAACGGTGCCTTGCTCAGGGACACCTCGGTAGCACTTGGTCTTTCCGGGACTTGAACTGGTGACCTTCCAGTTGCCAAGCCAAGTCCCTATGGACTTCGCCACCACCGCCACTCTTATATTTAGCTGGAGTAAGATATCTCCCAGCCTGATAATAAAACCCATGGTTATACAACTAGAGAGAAGAGAAAGACCGTTTCCTGTGGTTGTAGGTGACTCAGTCTGCTCAGTATGTGTGTAGTTGTGTGATTGTGACGGTGTTGGTACCTGAAGTGAGTGATCTGGTTCTCCAGCAGAGCCATGAGGCGACTCCTGACGGCCTCAAACTGATCCTTCTCCTCCAGCGTCACCGTGCCCATCCCATCAGGCCTGAGAGGAACAGGAGAGCAGTCACTTTAGAGAGAAGAGTCCACGCTTCTTCACAACCCACCAAACAAAGCGTTTCAAAAGAGTTAACTACTGTTGGGAAAATAGTTTATGTTCTCTTCCAACATGAGAGTCACATGATAACAAAGGTATCCCAACTGTAGCTGTGTACATGACAGGATGTATGATTACCTAGAAGAGCATCAGGACTGTTTGAGGCATATGATAGCTATGTGATTAACATGATGATTCAGCCTCTATGGAGATAGACATATGACAAGCAGGATCATTTCTGACGTGGAGCTAATCTGAAGTAAACATTGAATACTGCTTTCTATTCCTCCATCTTGTGACTGTGTAACTCCCTCTCTTGGATATCAGCATGTGAAGGACACTGTTCAGGAACTAGTTGATGCTCTGTATGTGATGACTACTTCCATTCTGGAGAGGATCACAAATACATGGATCCTGACAAAAGTCAGATTTATGAAAAAGTCAGATTTTTGAAAAAAAGTCAGATTTTTTGAGATTTTTGAGAAAAAGTTTGTTTTGAATACTTCTATTCTTGAGAGGATAATAAATACATGGATCCTGTACGCACATGTGATCAAATATACGTTCTCAGTTAAAGGGGACCTATCATGCAAAATGCACTTTTGTACGTCTTTTATACATGAATATGTGTCCCCGGTGTTCCAGGGAACTCACCAAGTGTCAGAAAACACAACCCTCTCTATTTTCCTCCATACCCAAATCTCTAAAAAAGGGGCTGCAACGGATCTGATCAAAACTGATCCAGATTTGAACACTGTCCTGACGTCAGGACGGTGGCGCTACGGCTATTGGGCCAACTCCACCAATCAGGAGGAGACAGCCACGGCCATTGCCGTTCGAAAGCGCTGGAGACGCTGTAGTACATATGCCAGGCCTGTAGATGGTGCTGTTCTCACAGAATCAGCCCTTGCAAAAACAGAGCTAGAAATTGTCAAATTGAGCAAAATGAAGCATGGCTAAAATGCATGATCTGTTTGGTATTTTGAAAAAAAAAAAGTATAAATATGCCTTATATAGGTATGGCCCTACACTATATTATTCAAATATAGCATGATAGGTCCACTTTAAGTACGATTGGCCTGTTTCATATAAAGATCTGGTTCTCTCTTGAGGTAAATAAAATGCCTTTTCCACATCGAACATGATCTCTGGAGAGTGTTTCTCTGGAAAGCTGTTGACATCTGAGCACAGAAGCCCCTCTTATGGATCGCTCCTCACTGACAGCAGCAGAATAAAGTCTTCACCAGCTGAAGGTGATAAACATCTAGAAACCAGGGGCGGGCGGGGGGGCGTGCGGGGGGGGGAGTCAACGCAGGAATCTCCATTTGTTTGTCTCAAAGAAAGAAGAAAATCTAACAGAATGTGTTGAAAATCGTTCAGGCTTGTTTTTCTGTCTGTGGCTTTTCTTCTTCAACTTGCTTATTTTTATGAAAAACTCAAAGAGAAAGCAGCCGAAATCTCCACGCTGACCTCAGAGTCAACCAATCAAACGCAGAGCTGCTCCTCTTCCTCCCCGGCCGGCGGGAGGAGGGGTCGACAAAGAGAAAAACTGTTAGTTGAGCGCTTCATTAATGTTTGTAAAGCTTTCATTCCCTGCGTCTGAATAGGCACTCTGGCAAAAAAGGGGAAAAAATGCAATCAGTACCCAGAGCGACCAGCCTTGACTTCCCCGGCTTTGTGTTGCCGGCTGAAAGAGAAAAGCAGCCTCTCCAAACGGCACTCGCAGCGCCGGAGGGAGGCAGCGAGGAGGTTGTCTGTTAATGAGTTGTTCTTATAAAAGCCTCCGCCGCGCTGAAGCCCCTGACCACCGGACCTAGAGTGCCAACCACTGAGATCCTGACTCTCCAAAGTCGAAAAAAAAAACGTGACGAGAAAGGAGAAGCAGCGGCGGAGAGAGAGAGAGAGAGAGAGAGAGAGAGAGAGAGAGAGAGAGAGAGAGAGAGAGAGAGAGAGAGAGAGAGAGAGAGAGAGAGAGAGAGAGAGAGAGAGAGAGAGAGAAAGAGAGAGAGGACTCAAACAACCTGGTTTTATTATCAGGGTTTGATTTATAACAAGGCTAGTAAAGGAAGGCAGCAAATACATGTTGCCGTGTAATAAATACAATCAAATGTAATAAAAACAAACATATGTAGTAGTGTGTATCCAAGATATAAGAAATACTTTAAAATAATTGTATTAAATATTCAATAATATAACTTCTTCTAATAAAGTAGAACAGAATAACAAATAAAATATGGTTAATCCTTTTAAATATCAACATATTAAATGTTATGTAAAAATAAAATACAGTAACTGTAAATAAACTATTAAAGGAATAAAGAGAATTACTTTAAATGTAATTAATAATGTTAAATATATATCACAAGTTATACGTTTACAAGTTTTAAATAAAATAAGGTAAAATGAATAAATCAATTAAAACAAAGTCTCTTAAATAAGATCATCTCAT